ACACTGATATGGTCAAACATGTCCTGAAAGTGTGATCTCCTGAGTTGTGGTTGTGAGAAAATAACACAATTCTTAGTAAAGACAGCACGCCTGTATGCATCTGTTACAAATGATGTCTGCTTGCACTGCATTTATTACAGCCAACCTAAAAGAAACAGGCCACATGTAATGACATTTTGATTTTGCAAAACAACTAAATTTACTTACAATTCAGACTGAAGGTCTATTTAAGGCAAGACTTTTGTTTATTTTTGGATAGCGTAAGGGAGAGTTATAATTCCTGTTCTGTTTTTTGCTGTGTTCCATTGGGGGGGAAATTCCCTTTACTTCCTGCCCATAGCCAAAACAGGAAGTGAGAGGAAATCCCTCCAAAATGAGGGAATCCCAAGGTGTCATCAGAACTAGTGTTCCCATTGGTAGATTTCCTGCCTCCACCACACTCCTCTTGGACAGTGAAGCTGCCAATCACAGCGAAAATCTGCCAGTCACATGCCTGAAAATGTCAGAGCTCTGACTATCAAAGTGACTCTGCATCCAATCATAGGCCTCGTTCACATGGACATACCCCTGTGAGAGGGATGCATTTTCCTGCATGGGGGTGCGCAGGTGTTTTGTGCTTCCCCATGCAGGCAGTCCCACGGATATCAATTGGGACACACTTCCAATTTGAGAGCAGTAGGGGTCCCCAAATTCACACGGTCTGTGCAACCGCATGGATGTCAAATTGTGTCTGGGATGCAGCATCTGTGTCCGTGCAGCCGCTGCATCCCAGATGATATGAATGGAAGTGCCTGCACAGGGATGTACTGAACATGTGTGTAGTCCAGTGAGGGTAAAAACAGCCCTCATGTGGCTGTATACTGGAGTATGCCTGTGTGAACAAGACCATAATACCCTGTTCACACTGGCCTTACAAACAGGCGTTTGGGGCAATTTTTTTTTATGCTCCTTGAATGCCTAGAAAAGCAGCCTGCAATGGATAATATGGACAGAAGGCAGAGCTGTTCACATTTCAAAAACATGCAAAATGTGTATTGCTTTGTGTCGCTGTGCAGCAACAATGAAGCTACAAACTGAATCTGGGAGGAGTTGAAGCTTGTCAACTCCTTTCATTCAAGTCTATTGCGGGCCATAGATGGGATGAAAAATGGCCGGAAAAAAAAAAAAAAACGGCCGATTTTTGGATCATTAGTGCGGTAATTGGTCGGCCGTTTTTCATGATTTTTGCTCTTTTGGATTACACTGTTCAACAGGTAAAAAGTTTTGGGCATAAAATTAGCTAATCTTACATAATTTTGGGGTGCTGAAAACGAAAATGACCCTAAAAAATGTTGATTGGCTCTAGTTTTCATGATATATTCACCCATCTAATGACGTAAGCCATTCAAAATTATGATGCAACTTCAGCTGCATATTGCGCAATTGATACTGGTGACCAATAGAAAATTGCATGTATACTGAGATGATGCAATATTAGCCTTTAATTGCATCACTTCACTGCATAAAAGCTGCAGTATCTGTAGCTGATTGTAGTTCGACAGCATCTTTACATTTCGTTTTATGCTTATATAGGCTACTCAGTAATGCCTCGAACTTGTGTGAATAAAGCAGATAATTTCTGCTATATCTGCGGTGAAATAAACTTTTATCTCACAAAAAAGGAGGATAACAGGAATGATTAAGAAAGCCTACAACTTGTATTTTGGCTGCAAGATAGGAGACCAGGACAAGAGCTGGGCACCACATATATGCTGCAATTCTTGTGGGACGGCACTGGAGCAATGGTTGAATGGAAAAAAGGCATCTATGCCTTTCGCTGTGCCAATGATTTGGAGACAGCCAACAGATCATGTTAGTAATTGTTACTTTTGTATGGTGCCTCCAATTGTAAAAGGGCTAAATAAGAAAAAAGTTATCTGTGCACTATCCAAATATTCCATCGGCAATACGTCCAGTTCCTCATGGAGAGGGGCTACCAATTCCTAAAGCACCAGAATCCTTTGTGGTTGAGTCAAGTGAGGAAGAACCTGAAGCGTGTAGTCACGTGCAGTTGTAAGAGATAGCCCTTTCCTCGAATACAAGAGAAAAGCCAAGAGAAGCAAAACCGACACAAACTGAAGACAAAACTAGTGAGAATCCTAAGTATTAAAATGATTCAACTTAGCTTATGGCTATAATTTTTCTTGGTAATCCTATGCAATATATTATGCCATTTAGGCTTTGTTATGTAGTCAATATCACTTGCTTTATATTTGTGGAAAGACATCTATCTATATAATTATTTGTGCATTATGTAGTCATTACGCCTATAGTAGAAAAACGTTCCGTTTACAGAAAAACTAGAGCCAATTGACAAATTTCATTGTTATATTACAGAAAACTAAGCCAATTGACAAATTTCATTGTTATATTTGAACTCAGAATGTGAAATTCATTAAGAAATGGATCCTTTTGTTTCCAAAACTGGCAAAAATAAAAATTTGTTGAACAGTGTTATCGGTCCTGCTGGAAAATAATCAGCCAAATTTGTCATTCTGCCGATTTTCGCGGCAATGATAAGCAAATCGGCCAATCTTTTTACCGATTTTAAAAAATGTGCATGAGCAGTGACATGAAAGAAGGAAAAGGAAAAAATAGAATATGAATAAGAAGAAATATAGTATGAATAAAAAAGAAGAAATAGAATATAAAATAGAAGAAATAGAATATGAAGAAGAAATAGAATATGAAGAAGAAATAGAATATGAAGAAGAAATAGAATATGAAGAAGAAATAGAATATGAATAAGAAGAAAAAAAGAATTTCAGTCCGATATTATATTTGACATTTAAAAGTATAGCAACATTGTATCTATTTGTATCCGAATAGAAACATCTGTATCCGAAATGGATACAAATAGATACAATGTTGCAACTTTTTCTTATTATTATTCATATTCTATTTCTTCTTCTTCTTCTGCATATTCTGTTTCTTCTTCTCCATATTCTCTTTCTTCTTCATATTCATATTCTATATCTTCTATTTCTTCTTATTCCTATTCTATTTCTTCTCTTTTTTTTTTATTCACATTCTATTTCTTCTTTTAAATGTCAAATATAACAGCAGAGCTCTGTGCAGGGACACCGCTATTATATTAATTGCCGGCCGTAGACGGGACAAAATCAGCCGACTTTTCTTTACCAATGGTGGAAACGTCGGCTGATTGAACGACCGATTTTTCGTTTTTCTAAAAAAAGAAAAAAAAACCCAGCCGGTTTTCTCCCTGTCTATGGCCTGCATATGGTAACGTACCTGTAGCAATTATGGTGTGTTTGACAAGTGTTAATCGAATATCAGTGAACTGGGAAAAAAAAAACAATCATGTGAAGGGCATCTGGGGTGTGGTTTTAACACGCCTTAAAAGCACGTTAACACTGTAGGTAAAATGGTTCACTTACTGTCAATGTAAGTATTTTTTTAGCAAGTGTGAACTTAGCCTAAGGGCTAGTTCTCACCATGTGCTCCAGTGCTTTTTTTTTCTGCATCCAAAACACATAGAAAGTAGGTTTCATGGTTTTCAATGGCATAGTTAACACCAGTGTTTCCAGTTCCAGATAACAAGTAGAATACACTTCATTTTTTATGTACTAGACTGGATTGGTAAAACACAAAAAAAAAAAAAATGCACCGGAATGCACCTACACACATCAAAAATGCACTGGACCCCCATATAATAAATATATTTTTTAAACACACGTAAAAAATAAAAAAAAAAATAATCTGGAGCGCATATGGAAACACATCAAAAGCACATATGCAGAAACACATCCAGAATAGATCTGGAGTGTGTTTTTGTGGTATAAAGCAACCCTAAAAGCCAGATTCTGGATGCTGCTGCAAATGTATTCCTCCTCACTGGCCTGCCTCGCCGCTGGCTATCCCCGCTTCAGTCGATCCTGAATACGGCTGCCAGACTCATTCACCTTTCCAACCGCTCCATCTCCACCACCCCCTCCACTGGCTTCTGATTGCGCAACGGATCAAATTCAAAATCCTAACACTGACGTACAAAGCCGTCCACCACACTGCCCCAAACTACATCACTGACCTAATATCCAAGTACCGCCCAGCACGCACACTCCGCTCCTCACAAGACCTCCTTCTCTCTAGTTCCCTGGTCTCCTCCTCCCATGCCCGCCTCCAGGACTTCTCCAAAGTGTCACCCATCCTCTGGAACTCCCTGCCCCAACCCATCAGATCACCTACTCTCCTCTCCTTTAGGCGCACCCTGAAAACCCACCTCTTCAGGGAAGCCTACCCCACTCCCTGCTAACTTGCCGACCTCCTCCACAGCTATCTCCTCCTGTGCCACCATCCCCTCCCTCCTAGATTGTAAGCTCCAAAGAGCAGGGCCCTCGATCCCCTCATGTTTTGCATTGTATTGTTATTGTTCTGTCCCCCTTTGTAATGTACAGCTCTGAGCGAACCATTGGCGCTTTATAAATACTGTATAATAATATATTCAGACACATCCAGCTTCCTGCACTCCACAACTGAAGCAGTTTTTTTTCTTTTTTCCCCACAAGGGCTCATTCACACTAATTATTGGTAGGTGGTTAAGATCCACTTTTACTGCCCCCCCCCCCCTCTGCTACCCCCTTTAGTTGCAGAGACAGGGATTGGGGGTGTACACATGCCACAGCCACGATGTTCGCTTTTTTTTGTGTAGTGCCCACCAAATGCAATCCTTTCAAGCGAATAGGGTCACTCTGCAGGTGCATGCGGTTCACTAGCATAGATATCGAGGAGTCAAACAGGCAGTCAGGTGATACAATGCCTCCTCACCACCTGGAAATAACTCTCTGAAGAGCAATCTGAATGCAGATCACTCTGCAGGGCACCCCGTTTGTGAAGGAGCCCTACCAGTGTCTCTATTGTACTTTCCACATTCGGGACCAAGCAACTGGTTTGCTTAAAAAGCTGATTCCCCCCCATTGCGAGAGGGAAATCCTTGGTAGTGTCTAGGGTATCAGTACAGGGGCTCCCCTTGGCACCTCTCCAGTGAGTGGAGGCCACACTAAGGGGCTCAGTAATTGGGTGGATGAGGTATGAAGCAGCCCCATGCTACTTGTTATGTATGGGAAGGCTGAAGTCTGTGTACATTCCAGGGGCACTATAAACAAATCACAAATACATGCTGACAAGAGACAGCTGCTGTGCTGAGGACAGGCCATGTGTACCTGGCTCTGCTCCGCTTCCCCCAGCACAGCTATTCGGTGTACACACAATGACTGACCTAGGTAGAGGACGAGGGGGACGAAGCCCCAGCGGACTGTGAACTGGCCGCATTTGAAGACCTTCTGCAGACGCTGTTTAGACTCTTTGGTGAGCTCAGGCATGGTGAGTATAGAGGACACCCGGCAGAGGACAGGAAGGAAGAGCCCCTCACCGGAAGTACACTCACCGAGAGCAAGACTGGCTGCTGAGGCACGCTGAGGTCCAACAGCGCCACCTACTGCTCCGGCTGTAAACTTCACCCTGCGAGCCTAACTCATTTGCAATGGAGGTTTCCGCGAGTCTTCCTCATGTTGTGGTCACACTTCCTCATGTTGTCGTCACACTTCCTCACGTAGTGGTCACACTTCCTCATGTTGTCGTCACACTTCCTCACGTAGTGGTCACACTTCCTCACGTTGTCGTCACACTAGATGTCAATCCAGATTTTAAAAAAAATGTTTTGCCCTTAGTTCTACTTTAAGTCTATGGAGGGGGTCACACAATGGCACTTCAGTCTACTCTATGTAATGCAGCACACTGCGCCTCTGACATGAGATGTGGTGAGGTGTAGGAATTCATACATGCTGCACACAACACGGCACATGTCTGGTGTGAACAGGACACATAGAACACAGTTGTTTTCCATGCGCCCTCACGCTGGGGCCCCCTAATGGGACGCAGACAGAAATGAAAAACCTGGCAGGGAAAGCAATGAACTTCCATTAGCTGACGTGAAGCTGGAGTTACGATATTTGGAAAAGAAAAAAAAAACAGCACAGAAGTTACCATGAGTGTAGAGTATCCCATGTCAGAGGCATAACTAGAACCTTCTGGGCCCCGGTGCTAGGAACCATGAAGGGCCCCCCTGCACCCATCCTGGAGCCCTTTCCATTGGTCCTAGAGCCCTTCCCTTCGAGTCCCAAGCCCTTCCCACTGTTCCTGGGGCCCTTTATTACAGTCCCCACAGTGGGACCCTTTTACATGTTCTGCATGTTCCCTTTCTACTGTCTTTGGTACCCCCAAGGTGGCGGAATTGCAGGGCCCGGTCACAAGTACAACCTTTGCAACCCTGGTAGTTCTGCCACTAACCTTACTATTACTGGGGGGGTGACTCTGGAAGATGTAGGGGGGCACTCTGGAGGTACAAAATAGTACCTATAGGGTGCCCCCTTACATCCTCCTCCAGAGTGCCCCCTTGGTGCCTCTAGAGTGCCCCCGTAGTGCCCCACTGGTGCCTATAGAGTGCTCCATATATCCTCAGAGTACCCCCCTTAGTGCCTCTAGAGTGCTTCCCTACTGCCCCCTTGGTGCCTACAGAGTGCTTCGTATATCCTCCAGAGTGCCCCCTTACATCCTCCAGAGTGCCCCATTGGTGCCTACAGAGTGCTCCATGTATCCTCAGAGTGCCCCCTTACATTCTCCAGTGTCCTCTCAGTACCTCTAGAGTGCTCCCCTACTGCCCCCTTGGTGCCTACATAGTGCTCCATATATCCTCAGTTTGCCCCCTTACATCCTCCAAAGTGCCCCCCTAGTGCCTCTAGAGTACTCCTCCCCTACTGCCCCCTTGGTGCCTACAGAGTGCTTCATATATCCTCCAGTGTGCCCCCTTAGTTAGAGTGCTCCCCTACTGCCCCCTTGGTGCCCCCTTAGTGCCTCTAGAGTGCTCCCCTACTGCCCCCTTGGTGCCTCTAGAGTGCTCCCCTACTGCCCCCTTGGTGCCTCTAGAGTGCTCCCCTACTGCCCCCTTGGTGCCTACATGGTGCTCTGTTAGTAGAGTAGTATTACAGAAGCATTCTCGAGGAGCATGTAAGGGAGCATTCTGGAGGAGGATATAAGGGGGTGCTCTTGAGGAAGATGTAAGGGGGCACTCTAGCGGATATAAGGGGGCACTCTGGAAGTACTATCTATATGAGGTACACTGACAGGTCTGTGGGAGTCCTGCATGGCAGCAGCTGCAATACATTTCAGGCTCCCAAAACAAAAATAAATAGTAAATGCTTTTCTTTTACCTACAAAAAATGTGCTTTTATCTTTTTTTTTTTTTTTTGTGGTAAGAGGTGACTTTATCCTGCAGACCGGCTCCCAGTCCATCATATATCTTCTCCCCCAGCACTCTCTGCTTTGCCTTAGCAAAGTATCCTCGCCTCACTGTCGGTGCTAGAGCGACATCTGCTGGACGTGAGGGGAACAACACCGGGGTGTGTCACGTGACCTGAAACAAGTTTACAAAGTTGGAAAGTTTCTGTGGCCAGTTTCTCGTGCGATGTGTTGTCAGCGGAGCGGGGTGAGCGGGACACACATCACTGACAATTCATTGGAAGATTATTATTTTTTTGTTATCATGAGACTGGGTCGGGAAATGGGCGGAGCAATCTTCAGGAAGTTGGACACCGCCCAGCCGGAGGCAGCGTGTTGTGTGGTTGGAGGTAAGTGTCGGCGTTGCCTTGAGTAGGGAAATCTCATCCAGGGTAGCCGGGAGTATAATGCAGGGACAGGGTAGGGAGGGATGAGAGATGTGTGATTTGTAGCCTCCATTAGCAGTGATCCATCCTGCAGGATCTCACGTGTGTGTCCGATCGTAGGCCCAGGATGACACGTGGCCCCCCGCCTATCACTGAACTCCCTCATTATTGGGGCCATCTAATCCCTCATCGGAGAACGATCATTTTTCTTCACAAGTATCTGATCAGAAGTGCTGATTATTTGGTGAATGCAGACAGTTGTACGATCCTTTCCGCAAGATAGGCTGCCGTTTAAAAATCGCTCCGTATGCAAGTAACTTAGAGCAACATTTAAAGCAGAACGCCTTAAAGAAAACAAAAAAATCCCCATGCAGTGAGGCTGGGCCCATATTGCGGGGATTAAGCACTGAAAGGCTATACTTACCTGATCCTTCAATCATCTGGAAAACCGCGCTCCCCCACATCCAGCAATGGACTGTTCCTGCCATCTTCACATCCAGAGCCGGTCTATGGGCATGAGGATGTCAGGAACAGTCCATTCACAAGACCGCTAGCATGTTGGTTGGTAGGAACACTCAGAGGATTGGTGGATTAGGTAAGGATATCTCTGCTCTCCTCACCCCTGGACAAAATTGAGCAGTTAACCCATGCAGTGTGGGCACAGCCCCATTGCATAGGAAAATGTTTTTTTATTCCCCTGGATTTCTTCTTTAAATGCATACAGCATTTACGTATCTGATTGGTTCCTAGGACAGAGGAAACTCTTCTGTAACAGCGTGATTTGCCCCAATTGCATCACAGTCCTGTCGAGTGACAATCGTAGAAGAATTGCATTTCTTTGGGGGAAGCACCATTGAGGGAGCATGGCACTCAGATGCACGCAGCGTGTCGTGCTGAGATTGCCATGCAAATTGGGATTGCGGGTAGAATGGCAGCAATTCTGCCCTCGATCCCAAATCGTGGGATGTGAACAGGGCCTTACACCCTGTTCCCATTGGTGCGACTTGGCATGCGATTTGCAAATCGCATGCCAAGTCACACCCTATTGTCCACAATTAGCGGTCATATCGGTGCGGTTTCAACTTGGTTGGAGGCACACCAATTTCAAAAGGAGTACATGCACGACTTTGGGTGCGATTTGCATAGACATCTGTATCAGATGTCTTGCAAATTGCACCTGAAATTGGCGGGTCCCCTGACTTTGACATCATGCGACTTGTAAGTCGCAACATTTCAAAGTTGGGCTTGATGTGACCCGGGACGTAGGCTGCATTCACATGGGTGTAAACATTTGTACTGATCTTATTACACATTTTTTAGCACAAAAGTTCCTGCTTAATGATCAGTAATTACTTGTATAAAATTGTTCTGGTTTTTTTTTTTTCTAATTCCCAATGCGATTTGTCAGTTATTTTGCTGGACGACTCACACCCCATTACCAAGAATGGAACCATTCAAATCGCTGCGACTCAAGTTGCAGTAACTTTGAAAAAGGTTCCTGCCTTATTTTTGTGTGACTTTGTTGTGACTTGCATTGCCATCTGTTAAATGACGTTACACAGTGCCAGCAAGCCGCAGTGAAATCGCACTTAATAGTCTGCTTCAAAGTTACACAGCATCAAAGCTGTACTGGTATGAACCAGGGCAGATGTAAATGTCTGGATTCTGTATTATAGATCTCAATGGGGTGCATGTTTACCTGTGTGAACATCTCCATTTTAAACATAGCTGCATTCTGTAAATTAAAAACAATCGTAAATTAAGCTACAGTCCTCTGTCACACTGATGGCGAACTGCACACAACACATCCCAAGAAAAGCTAGAATTTTTATGTGCGTATGCACAAATATATGCCCATCCATGTAGTTTTATGAAATAATTTTCTGCCAGGAATCTGATGTTCATGTAACAGTACAGTGTGCTAGTATCCCAAGGCAATATATTTGCTGTACAGTACACATATGAATGTTGGCACAACTTTTAGGGCCCATTCAAACCACATGGAGTGCTTTTTTTCTTCATCAAATGCATGAAAGATAGGTTATATAGGTTCCAATGGCATAGTTCACAACAGTGCAGTCAGTTCCAGAAAAAAAAAAAAAAGTACAACATGCTGCATTTTTATCTGCACAGAAATGTACTGGAATGTGGTAAAACGCATCATAAACGCACCGGTAAAGGAAAAAAAAAAAGCACCTGGAACACATCTGAAAACACATCAAAAATGCATTAAAAACGTGCATGCAGAAACATACAGAACGGATCTGGAGGACGTTTTTGTGCTGTGAAAAGGCAGAAATGCATGTCTGCTTAACATGGTTTCCTATGGGACACGTTCACATCTTTGCTTTTTCAGCCGCTGCAATTTTGGAAAGGTTCAGGGATTTTTGTTTTTCCCGCAGCAGATTGCATTTTTGGTGCAATACACTTCAATGGTAACCACACCACAAATGCAAGTGCTGCATTTTGTGTGGGGGAGGGGTGTTTGGGGGGGGCTAATAGGAAAGTATTGCGTGTGAATTTGATGCAACTTTACACTTTCTGGCACTCAAGTGGCTTAAAAGATGCTGCGAATTTAAAAAGGTTCCTGCGCTACTATGATGCGATTTTGGGTGCCAGAGAGTGTAAAATCGTATCAGTCACACTCAATACGTTCTTAT